CAAACCCCCCTTTTTCACCTTCCAGGCGCTCGTTCTCCGCCTTGAGGGCCTCAATCATAGTATCTCGGTCAGAGACCTCGCGAGTGCAGCGCTCTTCCATAACAATGGCCGTGTGATACCCCTGCGATCAGAAAGAAGAAGACCAAGGCGATCAGCAATAGAAACAAAAACAAATCTAAAAACGAACATACACCAAAAAAAGGCAAAACAGCCAAAGACGCACCAAGCTCTAGTGTTCTAGATGAACACGGAGAAGTTGGAAGAAATCCATGTCCCTCAGACGCTATTTGAAGCGATCTGTTCAAAGAAGAACAAACAAACACAAAACAAATAAGGTGAGAAAAGCAAATCTCACAATAAATACACCAACTGCCAGAGACCACCTCCGACATCTCCAAGAACCCCAAGATAGCACTCTTCCCAACTTGAGATAGAAGTGTCGGAGGAGCCTGCGTAGCAAAAAAAACACACAACAACAACAACTCAGGTCAGAGGGCCGATCAGAAATAGGTAATAACAATAGGCCAAAAGACGACTAAGATAAAAACACTCTATACTTACTCGGACCCGGCGCCATCAGCCCCGGTTGCCCCGGACCAAACCTAACGCTGGCAGTGGCCGCTCGCTCCTCTGGGGTGAGGAGTCCAGCCATGACATCACCTACAAAGCAACAAGTACATGGTATTAGCACTTGGTAAAATACATAAACAAATAAACCGGGCAAAGACAGTAAACACAAAAATATGCGCCAAACAAACTTACTCATAAAAAGCCTAGGCTAGGCCACCTGCCGAGCCCCCTGGGCAGATGTCTCCGCCATATCATGCGGCGAAGGCCCAAAGGGCTGGCTCTCCTCAGCCAGCGGCCTGGCGGGCGGAGGGCTCGAAGAAGACTGAGCCGCCGGCACCTGCTCAGCAAGCACGGCCTCCGGCTGCCCGACGTCTGCCGCTAGCACGGAGGAAGGCGCAACAATGGCGGGAATCGAAGGAACGTGCTGCAAGGCGACCTCCGCGCCATCTTCAGAACTTGAATACAGCCCGCCAAGAATGTCAGGCATAGGATCGGCGGCGCTAGCCTCCGGCTGTTCGGCGAAACTTGCAACACTGTGCAAGGAGCACGCCGGAGCAGCGCTGGCCTTCGGACACCCAACACCGCTCACAGTGCCGCTCACAGGGCGCACTGGAGCTCCAGGAGAGCCGCGATCCTCGCCGCTCGTGACCCGCATGTCCACTGATGGGACGGAGGAGCTCTGAACGTCTTCACTGCCAGCGGAGGCAACGCCAGCACTACCGGCCGAAGACGCGGCCGCCGCGATCACCAGAGCACCAGTCTTTTTCTTCTTTTTCGCAGGCGCCTGAGTTACAGCGGTGCCCTTCCTCTTCTTGGACTCGGCCTCCGCTGTAACATTCTTCACGAAGGCCTTCTTATTCTTCTTGTCAATTGAAGCTAGGACCTTGGCGGGAACCTCGCGCTCCCGATAGATGATCCCGAGCTCCTCAAAAACACGATTGAGCCGCGGCATGGTGCCTGCCATGGCTCTCCGAGACGTGTACTCACGCTCAGATATTTTGCCAACCAACCCGACGGTGGCCTCCTCAACGTCGGCAACGAAGCTGTCCTCCGTCACCCCCTCCCCTAAAGACTGGCCAAAGCAGGGGAAAAGAATCCCGGCCTCCGAACCAAAAACAGGAATCTTCACCTTTTCCAGCTGAAAGGCCGGGTTGTCCTTGCCCAGGGGCCAGTAGTTGGAGGCCATAATCTCCTCCACCAGGTCGCGGCCCCCAGAGTAGCGGCACGCAGCCACAAAAGCCCGGTCGTAAGCCTTCCTCGCCGGAGACTCTTGCTCCGGCGGATCCACGCGCGTGTGCAGCGCCATCTCCTCCATTCTTGAAGTCAATGGATACTCCATGACCTCCGCACCATCCTCGGTAGTGCCACGGACCCCGTAGGTCTTCACGTAGAACCACTGCTCAAGCCAACCGCGGTCCCACTTGCCCTTCTGGCAAAAAGAAAGCTCCAGGCGGTCTACGCCCTGGTTCCTCTTCGACATAAAGGTGCAACTACCATACTGGTAGGTCACCTCCACCTCCTTGCCCTCCCGCACCTCCTTCTTCTTCTTCGGCTGCTTCTACAGCTCATAGTACGCGCAGAAGGTGTCCACATCCGGCTCGGCACCATAAGAAACACACGCCCAACAAAATTTGCTGAGCGTAATGAAGGCCGTAGGGGTTAGATGGTGAACCTGGACGTTGAACGTCTCCAACACCCAGCGGAGGATGGGGACGTAAGGAAGGCGGAGGCCGCAGGTGAAAAAATCCCGAAACACCACCGCATACCCCTCCTCCGGCTCCGAAACGGTCTGGCCGGACGGAGGGATTTTTACCCTCGAAGAAGGAAAATACGATTCCTTCAACATCTCCACGACCGCCTCTTCAATAATGGAGGAGAGGCCGAAATCCCATGACTTTATCGCCATGTCTCTGGAATCCACAGCGATTAGGTCTCCGACAGACACAGAGACACTCCCCAAATCCTCCTCCACTAGCTTTTCAAATTCCAACGCGGAGGCGGAGGCAAGCATGCACTCCTCAAAGCGCGCACTCCAGCCGGCAGCCCTAACGCCGAGAAGGTGGCGATAGGGTCCGAAGAAGGCGGGCCGGCGAGTATGGGTGGAGGCGGAAAAGGAAGCCACCGCGGCGGCAGCCTAGGCGAAAGACGCAAGCGGAAAGACGAAACGCGCGAAGGCAGCTCAGGCGAAACCGAAGAGAGCAGAGAGCGATTTCTCAGAGGCAAGGAAAGCGAATGAGTAGTGTGGGGGGACCCCGCAACCAACCCCGCCCTTATATAGGACGCGGGCGGGCGGTTCGGCTACCGCCGTACAACGGTCATCTCCGGATAATTCGCCTGCCGCCCAACGGTCATCTCCGAAAAAGTCGCAAGGTATACAACGAAAAGCAATACGGCCAGTTTTGCAGCCTAACGGCTACTATGACAAGACCAGCGGCCACGCCAGAGCGGGCCAGGAGGGAACCTAAGGGGATCGGTCGGAGACGTGACTACGCATAGTCTCCGCCCCCGCGGACGTCCTTGCTTAGGGCGCTTTGAGTTCACGACACGCTCGGGCGGACCGTGGTCTCAAAAGGGGGGAACTGTTGTAACACGGCCTCCGAGGGTGGCGGAGACCTACGCGGCCAGCAGTTCGTAGAGACGTCTCCGACCAACTACCTAAGCAAAGGCCCGGCTACCACGCCTCCAGACCCAGAAAGATGACGGTTTCTCAGACTACTTGCAGGACGCCGCCGGTGACCCTGGCGCAGTCTCCACCCGGTTAGCTCGTAGGCGTCTCTGGCCGGAGGGGGCAGAGGCCGCCCCGCTGCAAGGCTAATCAAGTGCAAATGTTATCTACGTGTGTGTGCAGGTAACCAGAGGAAGGCGCGCCGGTTCGGCCTCCGCTCGTAGGGGCAGAGACCCAAGCAGGAGGACGACAATACTGGGCGTCGGGGGTCTGCAGCCTCGGCTTCCTAGGGGCGGAGACCGATGGCGGAGGCCTAAAGGCCCATCGCCGAATCTTGAGGCCTGATGGGCCGGCTGATCGTGCAGGCCCAATACCTGAGGGCGGCAAGACAAGATTACCCCCGAGAAGAAAGGCAAGTAGTGGGATATTCCGAGAATGTACTGTAGCAGTTGAAGGATACTATTGTAAACTCTGTGAAAGTGGTAGTTGAGCCCTATAAATAGGGAACACTTGTAACAGTACGGAAGGTTGGTGAATGAATTAATGAAACCCTAGTTTTACGTGCCATTTCCCTACACGCCCGCTTGTCGTGTATGTTTCCCAAGCCTCAGCCTAAGGGCAGCGCCTGGCGGGCGGAGGTCTCCTCCTCCTCCACATTGTCTGATACCGCTAGTCTCAACATACTGGTTATCTTACCGTCTCGTTCTCGGGCATCCATCCCATCGGACTTGGCTCCCAGTCTTGAGCTACGCAGCGAACCAGCCTCTCAAAAAAAATCCTCACTCCGCTTGTCTGTCCGTCGCGGCATGCTGAGATTTCGAGCCGCTCATCCCTCTGCCCCGCTGCGCCCCCTTTCCCACCGCGTCCCATCCCCCATCACGACGTCGCGCCGTGCCCTTCCCCCACCGCGCTGCACCCCATTGCCGGCTGCCCCCATCCCCTACAAGCGGATAAAGGGATGGGAGCAGCGCCACTGGAGTAGCAACAACAGGGCCATGCCGACGGGCGCAAGCCTGGGCCGCGAGCAAGCAATAAAGAATCGCAGGAGGGTCGTGCCACTGCTGCACCAGCGAGCTCCATGTGTCGCCGGCGACCTCCGTGCCACCGTCGTGCTCCACAACGACGAGTGTCCATTCGTCAAAGTAGCAAGGTGACATTGTACTGAAAGCGTATGTGACAAGTGTTTCAGATATTTTAGAGGTATGTTACAAGTATTTAATGTGGATGTTGTAAAAGTAGATCGGGACATTGCATATATGTTGCAATGATTGTACACGTATGTTGCAAGCTTCTGTTCCTAATGTTTGACCTATTTTTTTCTAGTCGTATGTTGCAAGTGTGCTTATTTGGATGTTCCATATGTTTTGCACATATGTTGCAAGCGTTTTATCTAGATGTTACGTATGTTTTACAATGATTTTTTAAATATTTTTTATGTGTTTTTTTAAGTGTTTTAGATGCATATTTCAAATATTTTATCTGCTTTCTTTCAGACATACATCGTAAGTGTTTCGTTCTTTGATCTATTTCTTTGCTCTAAATATGTCCTAATTTTTCCGTTCGTATCTGGTCCGACCTAACCCATGCGGAGCCCATGTCTGAGAAGCCCCTAATTTTGAACCGGGCCGGGCCTATCTGCTCGGCACGCACGGTCGCACCCTGCGCTCCTCCCCCAAACTGAATCCGCTCTGCTCCCTGCCTCTTCGTCGGCCCGCCTGTGCGCGACCTGCCTCTCCCTCCTTGCGGCCGCTCCCAAATCCACACCATGGCTGGCGGTTCGCTCGCGCCAGGCCAGACTGGTGGAGGTGGAGCCCCGCCCAACCAGCGCAAGCGCAAGTCTCCGGCCCCCGCCGCAGCCGCCGAGGACGAGGCGGAGGCGGAGGTGGAGGAGCTGGAGAGCGAGGTAGCCGATCTGGACCGCCGCACCCTCGAGCACCTCCGCCGCACCGCCACGCGCCTCCCCGACGCTGCCTTCTCCCGCCTCGCCTCGCTCCGCCCTCCCGCACGCCTCGGTACGCCCCCTCGTCCTTCCAGTCAAGCTACCGTGCCGTGCTAGGGTTTGAGACTGCTCCCTCCGCCCTCTTGTGTTGTGTGGCGGTGATGCTTATTTGTGTGTTCCGTGGATTTGTTCTCGGCGGCATACGTGAAGAAATTGTCACTTTAGGGGGGATTAATTTTGGATACGCACGGCCACTCGGTTTTGCTTGGTTACATTTGGGGAAGCCTTGTTTATATATTTTTTTGTCTAATAAAATCCTTTGACTTTGAGCGAGAGAAGAAATGGAAGAGATTCAGTTTTCCTGGCATGGCAAATTTCTGACGTATATTCAGAGTCCATTGTTTGCCTATGGATGTGGTTTAGTGAATTTTCGTACCCGGTTGTTAAATGGTACTAATCACCAATTTCCACTGCCTTTGCTAGTTGTGGCAATGTTAATACTCCCCCCATTGCAATTATAGTTCACTTTTACTTTGTCCTAAACCAGGCTTCGTAAACTTTGACAGTTCATAGAAAAATACACCAGCAGGTGGATACAGGATAAAAGATCACCTATGAAATATGTTTTGATATTGCATTTATTTAAACCTCTAGTTTTACTATATTTTTCTAAAAACATTGTCGAAGTTAGAGAAGTTTGACTTTATGTACCAAGTTATGCTTGCACAGTTCAAATATACCTATCAAAATTTAAAAATGGCTAGTCTTTTACATCTGTTGCTGCTAGTTTGCCAGTTGCCACAATTCGCTTGTATTGGTCTGTTACTTTCATAAATTAAAAACTCCAACATTTTCAGAGACAACTGATGCTTCCCAAGCTCGGCATGCTTTGATTTTTTATGTTATAGTTTTTATTTATACCATAATAACTGCTAATACGTCCATTGATATTGCAGAAGTTCCAGTTGTCTCGGAAACATCAGTTGCCGAAGATGACCAAGAGCTTGAGAAAGTAAAGATCCTCAAATCCAAGATCAAAGCTAATATTGCGGATTTGCCCAAGGTACTTGAGCAAATAAATGAAACTGTTGCTCGGTGTGAGAGGTTTTGTTAGTATCCATCCTGTGTTTCGAAAGAACTGTAGAGTTTGACACATCTTGCATGAGACTGGCTGATTCAGCATTATGTGTTTAGGTGTATTGGATCAGAAAACATTGTATCTAAGTGTTGTAGTTTTGGCGCTGACCATTTTGTTGCGTGAAATATCGTAGCATTGCTATGTTGAGGAAGCTAATTGTAAGTTAAACCTGGAAGAGAGAGATCTATGGAGCAGAAGTATTTAGGAGGTCTTGCATTTTCTGCATTAAAGATTGAATTTCTGATAGAGTGATAGGACACCAGGTTGCTCATGGATGCGTGTTTGTTCATGGCGTACTGCATGTGAAGTAATTGACTCCGTTCGCTTCGCTGAAAAAACAAGCCGAAACACTGTTCCGGCTGATTTGTTGTGAGAGAAAAGCACTGTTCCGGCTGAAAAAAACAAGCTGAAAAGTACGAATTATAAGACAAGCAAACGGATTATCTAAAGAAGATTGTGTGCTTGTTGATGGCTAGCGAACGGATTATCTAAAGAAGATTGTGTGCTTGTTGATGGCTAGTTGACATCCTGACTTTTTAACTGAATTCAAAAGTGAATATTTGTAATCCATAGTAACTCATTTCATCATGCAGACAGCAAGAACCTTTTCTCCCCTAGCTTCACCCTTGACCCTTGACGTGTGTGCTTTTTGTCCTGAAACGATATTCTCTTTAGAGCTGTACGTCAAAATACAGAGCACGAAGAAAACAGAATTCCGAGATCTTTCTCGTGGAAGGGGGAGGAGAATGCCAATAGCGGACAATGTCTGGTTAACTGACCAACAGTTACCAGACCAAAAGACCTTGGTGGTTTAGACGTGCCTGACCTTGAAAGATTTGGGAGAGCCCTCCGGTTGTGCTGGCTTTGGCAAGAATGGGTGGACGACTCCAAGCCTTGGAGCGGCTCAGAGCTTCCATGTACTGACGGTGATCATCTACTCTTCAACTCTATTATAACTTTGGGGGATGGCGCAAAGACTAAGTTTTGGCACCATAATTGGCTTCAAAGTGAGGCTCCAAGATACCTAGCCCCGAATTTGTTTCGCCTTATTTCAAGGAGAAACCAAACGGTGCAACAAGAGCTCCGGAACAACAATTGGATGCGCTCGCTAGGAATGATAATCACCTCGGTTGTCCACATAGAGGAGTTTGTGTCCCTTTGATACGAATACAGAACGTGCACCTACAACAGGGCGTGCAAGACTCCATCACCTGGCGTTGGACCCAGGATGGGATTTACTCCGCCCGCTCAGATTACAAAATTCAATTCAAAGGCTCGCTCGTCCCCTTCCGTACGGAACTCATTTAGAAAGCTTAGGTGGAGAACAGATGCAAGATCTTCGCCTGGATTTTAGTGCAAGATAAAAATTTTACGGCACAAAACCTACAAAAGAGAGGGTGGCCACACCAACAAAACTGCGTGCTGTGCAACGGTTCCTTAGAAACCAGCCTCCACCTATGCCTATGTTACCCTTTTGCTAAGACGGTTTGGGGTCAGATCCTCTCTTGAAAAAACTTCACTCACCTGCAACAACCCTAGGCAGACCCCATCCATATCAGGACATGGTGGGAAGAGGTGGCAAGGAAAGTGCCAAAATCTGAACGTAGACGACTAAACGGGGTAGTTATCTACACCTTTTGGAATATTTGGAAAGAGAGAAATAGGAGAATTTTCGACAACAAAATAGAAACGGTGCCGCAGGGATAAAGGAAGACATAGAGCAAAGGAAGAGAGCGCTCGCTTATGTTTAGCTGTTGTTCCCTCCATTGGGGTGTGTGTTTCCCCCCACTTTACCTGCGTCGGGGGGATTAAAACCCTCATCTGGAGTGTCATGGCTTGTACATAAACAATCTTTTTCTATCTTAATTAAAAGGCAGAGCTCCTACCATTGCGTTAAAAAAAAAGAATTCCGAGGGGAAGAGAAAACTTCTAGCGAGGCCCATCTTTGGAAAGAAAAGAAATGATTCCTAGGCCCGTCTGCAATGATGGGCTCAGCACAAAGGCTCTCACTCTGCAGCTACCTGTGTTTGCTGAGGTCTGAGGACCCCTGAAGAATTCTCAATGGTCAATGCAAAACAGGCAAAATACATCATGTTATGCTAAGGCTGCTATACTGGTGTGCTGACTTGAGAGTATACACCTTGTTCTTGATGAATGCATAGCGGTTTTATCTGATGGCCAGCAGACTACTGCTGAGCTCTGGGTCTGATGGCCAGCAGACTACTGCTGAGCTCTGAGGACTGACACATGTAATGCCTTAACCACGGTAATGAAACATACTATCACATCTGCTTCAAAGCTATCATATCTGAAATGTGACAGATTCTGCCCATAGCCTATTTCAGTTGGAGAACATTGACACATGTAATGCCTTAACCACGGTAATGAAACATACTATCACATCTGCTTCAAAGCTATCATATCTGAAATGTGACAGATTCTGCCCATAGCCTATTTCAGTTGGAGAACATTGCACTGTGCTTCTCTGAATGGAACCACAGGACAGCGGAGAAGCAGCATGGACAAACCAGGCATGTGATCTTTGCAGTGCTGAAAATGATATTCCAGAATAGCAGTAACTGGCCAGCTGAAAAGCATGGTTTCGTGCTATTTATGTGGCATAATAAGCTACTCTAAGTTCCTAACTTGGCTGGGGCAGGGAGGCCTGAATTGACGCAAGCGGTGATGTTGGCGATGTGACTTTAGTGGGGGACAAAGGAGGCAGTTTCCTTGACGCTGACAGAGTTGATGCCCTTGGCGACAGATCCACCATCTCCAGTGCCTGCATCCGAGCTCCATTGGGTAGTCCTTGACACATCCAATTCTCGGACCAGCCCCAGTGCTCCATTTAAGGGACAGCCTGTGCCCGAGCTGATAGGACTTGGACTCGCTCTTGGATTTCATCCTCTCGAGAATCGCCTTCTGGGGGACTTCGGTGGCTCTAGGGCTTTGCAGACCACCCGATAAGGTCCTTTGGTAGGTTGGCCTGGCTTGTTCTTCAGGAGCGTTGTCTCCTTCATTGCCTTCTGTGGTGTTTGGAGGGGGAACCACTTGTGGAAGATCTGGTTCCATGATAGCTGAAGTAAACTTCTGTGAGTCATTAGGCACTGGATCTTCGTTGTAGTCTTCTCTGGTGGATGAGCGCACCTGCAACCAAAAACAAAGCTCACTAAATGAAACCATCTACCATTTGGTGGCATGAGCATAATTTCAACTGTTAATGTTTAAGATAGTGTACCTCAACTTCTTTGAGGTCAACTCCATTCTCTTCAAGTAAGTTCATGATATTGTGGAGGTTCTCTGCACTAGGTTTGTAGTGACCGCTGTACGCCCAGATGGACTTAATCCAGAACAAATAGAAAAATTAAACCAAATGCACTGATGAAAACGTACACTAAAATGACGTAATCAAAGTAACCAAATGATATTATTATATGCTGCATAGCTCAAAAATAGAAGGATGCGACATAGTCATCTGAGTCCACATCAACTCGCACAGTGGTTGAATCAAGATAAGTAGATATCTGATGTGTATTGGACATTCAGAAACTATAGTTTCTGATATACTGCCAAAAGAATTGTGCCAAAAAAATTCTGTGCATGGATATTAATGTTCTGGTTTATATTTCATATTTGCCATTTAGAATGGATTGTCAAAAATAGTTATTCATGGTAGCCCATGGAACAGCAAAGAATGGTTTGGAGGATCACACACAGTGAATGACACAAATAAAACATTTTGATCAAGAGCTTTTTACCTGTATGGCCCTGAAAAAAATACATCTTCCCTGTGTGACCTTATTTTTTTTGAACTTGCTCTGATATGAAATTTTATTTCTTCTATGGCCTTCTGTCAAGTCTGTTAGGGTACTCTGTTAGTTTGCCACTGGTTGATAAGAGAAATGTCTAAATTGCCCTTCTGTGTTTCTGTCAATTCCACGGCATCCGATCCAGACCGACACCGAGCGGGCGGAAACACACGAGACCAAGGATGGGGGAGGACTCCAACGCCGCCGCAGCCGGCCAGGGCGCTGCCGCCACCGGCCAGGGGCCACCGCCGGGATCTCCGGCCCCGGGATCTCCTGTAGGGTGTGTTCGAGCTGCGCATCGAGCAGCAGGGGGAGCCGTCGCTGGTGCCGCCGGCGGAGGAGATGCCCACCGGCCTCTACTACCTCTCTAACCTGGACCAGAACATCGCCGTCATCGTGCGCACCGTGTCTCGCTTGCCAGATGGCGACGGCGCGCCGGCGACGGAATCGGCGCTGCGACGTCTTAGGGAGTCATCGGCGAAGGTGCTCGTCCCACTACTACCCGCTTCATTGGCGGCCGGCGATCTCGATCAGCGCGAAGGAAGCTGGTCGTTGATGAAGACGCGCGAAGGCGCCAGGTTCGTGGAGGCCGAGGCGATCGCGCCATGGCGGACATCGGCGACGCCACCGACCCCAACCCCGACCCCGACCCCTCCGTGCTCGGCGAGCTCGACGTCTGGCGTCCTCGGCACCAGAACATACTCGAGATGCCGCAGCTTGCGGCCTGTAAGTACTATTTGCCGCTTCGCCTCTCCCGGATCGATGGACGGAGTTAATAACAATGGGCGATCGATCCATGGACATGCAAGGTGACCAAGTTCAAGTGTGGCGGCTTCGTGTCATGGTCGCCATCAACCACCGCATGTTCGGCGTGTCGGCGCCATGCAATTCGGCCAACTTCGTGGGGCGAGAGGGCGCGCGGCCTCCCATTGCCGCCTCCCACCGCCCTCGACCACTGCCCCTCCCCTCGCATACACCCGCCGCTCCACAGGTCTACTTCCCGCACCACGAGTTTGCGCAGATCACTGACGACGATGAGGACGACGACGAGGACGACGGGGAGGACTCGGACTCCCAGCTCCTGCACCGCTCGTTCCGGTTCACGCCGAGTTCCAGCGGCTCGTGGAGGAGGTGACCGCGGCCTGAAGGACGACAAGATGAAGAATCCGCATGCTTGTATATGCCAGTGCTGCGTGTCATTTGTGTTTCTTTTTTTTTGAAAACTTGTTTGTGTTGCCGGTGGCAGTGCTATGTTCTAGTGAACTCGTCCTTGTTAAATGATTAATGAAATTTTAATGAACGCACAATAGTGGAGTCTAGCAATAGCCCGATTCAAGCTTGTTGTATGTGAGACCAATGTATGTTTGAAATTACACTTTTAATATGTGTGACTTTAATTATGTGAGACCAAATTTATGTGAGACTGAAACTATGGTTAATTGCAATGCATTTGTGTAATTTTTTATGCATTTGATAAGCTCATTTTATTGCAATATATTTGTGTACTTGATTATGTGTGTTATTATGTATTGTTATGTGTGAATTTATTTGCGTAACATTACTCCAAATGTACAAGAGACAAACAAAACTCTGCATTTTATTTTTTTTGCCAGGGGTAAAATGGTCATTTTACCCTTGACTTAACACCGTCAAGTGCTCAAAACGGACGGAAGGCCATAGAAGGAAGGAAATTTCGTTTCGGGGCCATACAGGTAAGTTCAAAAAAAATAGGGCCACACAAGGAAGATGCATTTTTTCTAGGGCCATACAGGTAAAAGGCTCTTTGATCAAAGGTAACAATAGCACAAGCAGGAATACCATGAAAGTAAAATACCGTGATATAAAACAAACATTCCAATAGGCAGTGGTTGCTAAAAAGAATACCTTGATCACTCCATTTTCTGCAGTAAATCTCCCAGCAGCTATAGTTGCACCTCCTGCCAAAAAGCTGGAGTGCTGGAATACGCCTCTCTGCTTCTGATGAATATATAGAAATAGGTTTAGCAGAAGTAAAGTAGCGAAATGCAACAAAGATATAATATTGTTTCAGCAGAGTGCGAAACTGCGAAGTCATTGTACGACAGTAAAAGTAGACAAATTACCTTGCCAGCATAAAGTTTTTTTGCTGTACTCATAACAAATATCCATTTAGTCCCGTTAGGACCCCTTGTATCAAGTGGTTCTCCAGACTGTTTATGGATAACTTTTCCCTCGTTAATGATGTATTCATAGTGCTCACGCTCTTGCTGCAAAACAATGGACAAATGTAGTTTTATTAGTCATCCAAAGAGTCTGTTAAAACTTAAAACAAACCCCTTTTCCTGTTGTTAACTATGTTTAACGTTGCAAAAAGCAACTGTAGTTTTATTAGTCATCCAGATTCATGAACAAATGAAATATAATGTGAATAATAGCAGGCCAGGGTGTGACTGGATTCCATTCATATTTCAGATGTAACAATAATTCAGACTTGAGGCTACATCAAATGCAGTTCATATATAAAACAATTTTATGTAGTAACTAGAAGATGAAAGATACATGTTTTATTTGATAAAAAAATTAAAGGCAAACTTGGAGAAAAGTTTTTTTTGAAAAGATAGTGATAAAATCAACAAAAGGTTCGTTCAAAAAATAAAATCAACAAAGGAAAGTTTTATGACACCGACATGAGATTTTGTGGATGAAGTGAGTCAAGCCATCTTACTGCTCTTCACAGAAAATTTTCAGCAAGGATATATGTCACTGGCTCTAAATAAAGACAGGTAGCCGTTGGTGGAACATATCTTACGGACCAAGATACATAATGCATTGCTTCTTGAGCAAAGCTCTTGGACATTCAGGAAGGTCTAGATCCTTTCCCTCTCCAACATCAAGCCTACATATGCACAAATACTAACTTAAATGGTTGTGCCCTCAAACTGATAACTGAAATTCCAGGTATGAACAGACATTCCTATGGTAACTGAAATCTCTGGAATGAGTAGACATTTGAATATGTACATCTCTTTTCCATCAGTTGTGCCGATTGCGCTACTTTGTTCAAACAGCAGAATTTGCCAATGTGATTATGGCTCCTGGAAGTTGCAGTGAGGTTCTTACCAATAGAAGAATGGCTGGCCAGCTTGGCTTTTGCACCATTCATCATAGTAGAAGTGCAGGTTGTGCCCATATCTATGCCGCGGGTCGATCTACACAGAACAAATGAATACAGCTATAAAGGTTCCATTGCATCCTAGTGTTGCAAACAACTGACTACCACTGTATCAAGAAACGGACATACAGTAACTTTTAAGAGCTGAACAGGTGGACATTTTTATGATCCACACATGGCTAAAGCAGTAATGTCCAAGTCAAGTGATAATGTAAAGCAGCCTCTTTTCACACACATATAGGAACAGCACCCAAAAAAAAAATCCAAAGCAATACTACTAAACTAAAAGGCAGTACTAGTGGATTATTAGTACGGTTATGTACTCACAGCTTCGATCCAGTGCTGAAAAGCCAGCTTGAGGGCCTTGGCGTCTCTGGATAAACCCTGACCCACCTGTTGCAATGCAAGCCAGTGACATGAGCAACAGAGGACTGAAGAAGTCTGAAGCAAATTGGTTTCTGGTGAACACGAGGGACTTTTTCTCTGGTAGTGGTAGCAGTTGGGAGTTGGGACCTTGGACGCGTTGAGGCTGATGCGGTTCCAGCGCGAGGCGGCGGTCTCCGGCTTGGGCTCGTCGAAGAAGGAGACGGTGCTGTGCTCCAGGCGCGCGTAGTCCAGCGCCTGCCACCTTCATTCATCATCCCAACCACAAATCCTATCAGTCTCAATCAAAACTCCACCTCAGGGGGGGGGGGGGGGGGAGCTCTTTTGTAACTGTAACCGATTTCCGACACCCGTAACGTAAATAAACATCAAGAAGAGCCAAATTCAGGCATTTTTTTTTCCTGGGACACCAAAATCTCCAAGAACCAAAGGAGGGCCCTTTCGATGATGGAACGGAACAACACATGATCCAGCAAGAGCCAGGGAACAGCCAATCCCCAAGAAGACCAAAGGGGGGCGCATGCCGCCGCTCCGGACAGAGGGGAGGAAACCACACCAGAGGCATGGGCCATGGAGAAGAAGAGGAAAAGGATCCGAAGAAGATACCATACCAGAGCTCCTCGACGACGACGGCGGAGTCGGCGAGCTTCCGCCGGGTCCGGTAGCTGCGGTACACCTTCTGCAGCTTGGTGGCCGCGCCATTCTCGCCGGCCCCCTCCACCGGCGAGGGAGGAGGCTCCAGCTTATCCGGCCCCGCCGCCTCCACCTCCATTCCTCTGAGATTGGGGAGCGAAGGGTCTGACGCGCTAAACTTGGACCGAGCCGGCAATTAGTTCGTCCGCGGAGGCGAGGGCGAGAATGGCTCTGCGCCCGGCACTCGTGCAGTGTGTCAAGGACGACGAGGGGCAGGTGGGAGTTTAATCTGTGGATTAACACGCGAGCCGAGGCCCGAGGGAATAATTAAAGGCGATTAATCTAGAACGGGGAGCAGGGCGGGGATCGGGGTATCGCATTCGCGGGAGGAACGGGAACCGGCCCGCGGATACGACGACGACGAGTCGTTGGCGCCACCTACCGGTTCTTGGCTCGTGTCCCGTGGCGGGGGGTGGCGCCGTAACTGCGCGTGGCTGGCCCACTTGTCATCATGGCGTGGCTGGCCCACTTGTCATAAAGTAAATAGCGCATGAGCAAAGGCGTGGGTGGTGCAATTCCTAACGAGGTTTTTTTTTACAGGTCCTAACATGAGTTTAATGCTACGGAAGGCGTATCGTCCGGATGTCCGGACGGGATATCGCGTCAGGACGCGGCTCTCACACCTGTGTCCCGCGTCCCGCTCAACACGGGAAATCTGTGTTTGCATCCCGTCCAACACCCATGCCGCCCAGCGCCAGCGCCCGCATCCCCGCGCCTACCCCACGCCCGCGCGGGGAATATCCACGTGGGTTGACCCACGGCTACGTCCCAGCAGCAGCGACAGGGCGCTGTTCACCAGCCATCGCGTCGTGCAACATCTCGATCTACTTTTAAAATATCCAGATAAAATATTTACAACATACGTTTGAAACAAATGAAACACTTGAAACATGCGTGTATAGGCATAGCAACCTATGCAACATCAAAATCTACTTTTGCAGCATACAGATAAAACATTTCCAATATAAGTATAAAACATATGAAACACTTAAATATACACTTGAAACATGTGGGTAGAGCAATGACAACATATGCAACATCCAAATGGAGCACTTGAAACATACGTTTGAAACATCTAAAACACTTGAAACATAGGCCTACAACATGCGTACATTGTCATTGCAACATATGCAATATCACAGATTTACTTTTGTAACATCCAGACGAAACACTTGAAACATAAATCTGAAAATTGCTGAAACACATAAAACACAGCGCCGCCGGTGACTATGGCCTACCTAGTGTGGAACTGTGGTAGCCAGCAAGCTCGAGTCTAAGGGACATCGAGAGCTACCCAACATATACTCAGGCGCAGGCGCAGGCCTCCCTTTCCTGCCGTGGTATGTTCGGCCGGCCGCAGAGCACGCCATGGCCGCGACGGCGCGAGGTGGATGGGGGCGTGGCACGGGCGCAGAGGAGCGCGGATGGGGGCCGGGTGCGGCGCACCCACGCTGGAGAACGCGAGCTAGAGAAGGCCGCCGGACTAGAGAAGACGCATGGTGGATGGGGACGGCGGTCGCATGTGTGCGACGGTGGGGAAAGGAAAATGTCGCTGTCTTTTTTTTAAGAAAGTGTGAAACACTTAAGATGAAGCAGAGCAGGCCTGTTGGTCCGGATGGCTACGTAGGCCCGAGAACATGGGAGTCTGGATGGATATGACTGGATGGACATCCTCACTAGAGAATTTTCGTTCATGCTACAGTAATGTTACTTATTTCAGGTGCTCTTATTTTCCTAGATTTACTCTAGGATTTTACGAAGCGAGGCGTCTGTGATGACTTCATGAATCTCGAGATCAAGCGGCTTAGTCCTTTGGAGGTGCTTATAGGGGTAAGGTTTACGTTCGTGTGTTCATAGAGATGAGTGTACGTGTATGTTGTAGGCGCATATGTTATACTGTATAGCGTCAGGAGTACTTTTAGGCTCTCTGTCTTTGGTGGAGCTCCCATCGACTTCGGGTCCTCCGTATAATATAGTAATAAACTATTTTATTTCTCCTCTCGAAACAAATTAAAAGCATATGAAACCACTATCTTTTATTTCACAAAGTTGCGGCTCCTTTGGATATTATAGTAAAGAGTTAAAATTGTTGTTTGAAGCCGTGTTAAATAGGACCTTAATGTAAAGCAGAAGTGAGCAATGAGTGATGGATGAAACAACATGACTTATCGTATAGCACAAGTGAGCAATAGTTATGTACCTTTTTAAGTTTATTGATCATGTTATCTTCACGACAATTAGCTGTATATATATGACTCATCCATATTCGTAAACGGAGTGCAAGGTGTTTCATCTTCAGGCCTGCTCTAATTAAGCCTGATGTCCTAATGTCTTATTTGGATCCTATGATCTAAAACTTAGCCGCTATAATTTTAGGCCCTGTTCAGCTGGCTGGAAAAACGGCTGATGCTGATGCTGATGTTGATTTGCTGTGAGAGAAAAATATTGTTATTTCGTTGAAACGGTATAACTGATAAGTTTAAGCGAACAGGGCTTAGCTTTTTGTGACTAAAGCCCCATTTGGCACGGCTCATCCAAAACGGCTTCACCGGTGAAGTCAAAGCTGGTGAAGCCAAAAAAACTGGCTTTTTCCGGCTCCTAGTTCATTTTAACCCCGGCTTACGAAACGGTTTCACGCTACAGTGTATCGATTTGCGCAAAATAGATGAAGCCGAAGCCGACATAAGCCGTGTTAAAGAGGCCCTAAGTTTCTAGAAAAACAATAGCAATATTGCTATTATTTTTCTATAGTACTCCCTACGTTTCTGATTATAAAACGTTTTAGTTTAGATATATTATTTTAACTATTTCTAAGTACAATGTATATCTAAGTATATAAGTCAAAATATTTTATAATTTAAAACTACAGAGTAATGAGCCACCAGTTATTTGTATTCGTGTCGGGGCTGGGAAGACTGACCGAGTCAGGGTCAAGGAGAGCAGCACGCGCGCTGGCCTGCGTTGTGCGGCTCGCTCGCTCCTTACCGGTGGCCCGGGTGAGGCCTCGCCGGAGCGGGTTTGACCCGCGTCCGGCCGGCGACCGACAGGACGCGCGTGGTGCGCCGTGCCGGGGTCATGCATGCCCACCCACGCGGGGCAGCGGTCGCTCTCCGCGCCGGATCTGGACGGGACGGGACGAGGCTCTCTGGTCGCCGTCGCCGTCGTGGATTCGTGGCCGCACAGGTACGTGCACGCACGACATCATATTGACATGCGCCCAGCTACGCTGGCTCGTAGCTACTAGTGTGAACTGAATCAGCGTCCTCCGTTGCATCGGTCGGTCTGCATGTTGCTATTGCACGAATCATGTGGGCCCGTCAGCACCTCGCGTCCAGAAGTGTACTCCCGTGTACGTAGTACGTATGCTAGGCTAGCTAGCCAGTAGGCACGGAGCGGATGCGCTGTCCGTGCCGGCCAAACAAATACTCCTCGGTAAAAGAACTCATTTTAATAGCGATACGGTCTTCAAAGCATAATTTTCACTTCTGGTTTCTATAAGAATATAGATTAAAAAGTAATATATGTATATTTTTATGAAAGTATTTTTCAAGACAAATCTATTCATATGGTTTTCATATTTTCAAACTCAATACCTTAAAAGTTATTTATAATTTATATTCCTAATATTTGACTCAAACCTTGTCCAAAATAACTTTCTTTACCAATCTGGAGGGAGTATTACTGTTTTCTTCAAAATCAAACATTACTATTTTTGACCATTTATTTTTTAAAAATATTATAGTTTTATAGCATTTGAATTATAGATATGAAATATGTCTTATGGTGAATCCAAAAATATAAATATTATGTTAGGAACTTATCTAATATTTTTTAAACTGATGGTCAAAGAAAACGGAGAGAATACATCTTCGGTCTCAACATAAATACACTCGTAGGATTTTTTGGTTACAAATCAATGTTATATGAAAACTACATACTTTACTCTTATCAAAAGCTATCTCAACATGTAATGATTGCACTTTAGAAATAGATAAAGGCCATGTTCGCTTCAACTTATCAGCCGTACCGTTTCAATGAAGTAACAGTGTTCCTCTCACAACAAATCAGTATGAACATCAGCATCAGCCGTTTTTCCTGCCAGCCGAAGGGCTAAAATAAAAAATGTATGCTACAACTAGGTGGACCATACTTAAAAGTGCACTTTTTTTAGAATAAATTTCAAATGCTAGAAATATGTTTATTTTAATCTTACAGCAGAGGAAGTACGTAGTTAGCACCGCCCGGTAGATAAAAAATTTCTAAGATATCATATAGACATACATGTCGAAATTATATTCTAATGTATAGTGTCTTCAAAATAAGTTTTTTTAACCATAATTTACATGTCTTCTCTCTTCGTTATCCACCTATTACGTCTTTCGTATCTTGGTTTTTGCCTTTAGACATAGAGGGTGTTTCCTTGAGCCAAAAACAGCAGCTGCGAGGAACAGCTTGCTGAGGAACAGTGTAATAGTTTCTTGTCTAGGTGACCATTTTTTTGTCTCTATCTTTTTTATTCCAATATTATGTTAGCATTTTCCTTAGGCCCCGTTTAGATGCCAAAAAATTTGGCAAAATGATACTGTAGCAGTTTTCGTTGTTATTTGGCAATTAGTGTCCAATCATAGTCTAATTAGGCTTAAAAGATTCATCTCGTGGATTTCGTCTAAACTGTGTAATTAGTTTTATTTTTTATTTATATTTAATGCTTCATGTCTGCGTCCAAAGATTCGATGTGACGAGGAATCTTGAAAATTTTGATATTTTAGAGTGGAACTAAACGGTACCTTAGTTAACATCTTTAAAATGAATATAAAAGTCATCCTAGCTTTAGCTTTTGGGTTGGCATAGATAAGCCCTGAAATTAAACGAGCCATAAACACCGCACCAACTAGATGTACGGGGAATAAGTAGGCGCCGCCAAATATACTGTAGCGCAATGTAGCGTGATGTAGCATTTTTTTTTGTATTTGGTAATAATTGTTCAAATATTAACTAATTAGACTCAAAACGTTTGTCTCGCAAAGTATAATCAAACTGTGCAATTAGTTTTTGATTTTGTCTACATTTAGTACTTCA